CCACCTGGCCATGCCGGGCACACTATCACAGATAGACCTTACGTAGCTCTGCGTGACAATTCTTAAACAAAAAACAATCTATTAATTGATAAGAGTCGATAAAATGAATTTTCACGATCGAAAAAGCCTGATAAGATTTTTAATCTAAAAAGAATGTTAAACAAGTTCAAGTGATTATACCAGCAAATAAGAAGAATCTCAAGCAAAGCTTTTGAATCAATTTGTTACTAACATGATCGACAGCGACGAAGTATCAAAACCTTTCAATCTCGAGATAAAATTTAGCTTTTCTTTTAATTACTTGTTTCGAGATTATTCAGGTCGTGTTTATTTTTGTAAAGTGTAATTAACTCGGAACATATTTTGTTTACTTTGCTGATGTCCTAAGGCCAAATGTTGTAGAAAAAAAAACACGTTATTTCTATACGTTATTGCATTGGTCGTTTTCGTTTAAAGAAAAGAAAAATAATTATTCATTGATATAATATTTTTTTTGCACTATAATTTCATAAAAAGCTAATTTTGGGAACTTTTTTTTAAACACCAACAGAAGTCGGTGTTCCGTAAGTTTCCGGGTTTTTCTTGCCTTGCTAGTAAACAGTTGTGTGTGTGTCTATTATTTTCTGTAGACGCCCTTTTCCAACCATACACATTTCCGAAACCAATCCGTTTCAACCAAAGCAGATACGTGAGCTTCCTGTCCAGCAAGAGAAATAGCCATAGATTACCGGAAGTCAGCTTGTTAAAGCGTGGCGGTCACCTGACTGACCACAAGATAGGTGACACGAATGAGGATATTGTTGCAGTGAGCATATCGTTATATAAGTATGTTAAAAAAAAAGGATGTAAGAGAGGTCACACGTATTGATACTTAACCTTGCTTGACCACTGGCTATTCTTGACACTTCTCTAACTGCTCCGAAATAAATTATTTCAATCAGAAATAAAGTATAATTCTGAATTGAAATAAGCTTGTTAGAATTACTCATATATTCAACCCAAAATGGTGTAAGTGATATACATATATATATATCTTCTTTGGACACAATGGATACACTCGTATATCATGCCCCAAAATGGTGTAAACACACGGCTGTTTTTATTGTTTCGCAATTGGTTAACTTATATGTGGAATAGAATATACACCATTGGATACTATTACAGCCAATGCATAAAACATTATCAGCCATGAACGACGTAAAAATAAGATCATCTTTATTTATTCTTACCAGTAATATTACCAAGGAGATTGTTGTTTGTTTTTGAATTTCGCGCAAAGCTACACGAGGGCTATCTGCGTTAGCCGTCCCTAATTTAGCAGTGTAAGACTAGAGGGAAGGCAGCTAGTCATCACCACCCACCGCCAACTGTTGGGCTACTCTTTTAACCAACGAATAGTGGGATTGACCATCACATTATAACGCTCCCACGGCTGAAAGGATACCGAGGAGATTCTAGTTTCTTTCATCAATTCGTGACTAAAGAGGATGATATAAGTGAATGGCTGTGTGTATGCTTGCGAATAAATCCATGATAAAAATGTCAACTTGTCACTATGTAAAACTGTTACGGACGTCCCACTTCTATTATCATAACCGATTTTGATTTGTCTAGCAGTTCAAAGTCTAAAAGTAGGCAGATATACAGATATGTACAGAGAGATGGAGAGGGAAGCAGGGATAAACTAATAAAAGATACAGATGGACAGACAAACAGATAGAATATTCCCTTTCAGAGACACTTCGTACAAAAATATTTACATTTCTATACTTCTCGCTCTAGTATCCGAAGTTGTAAAATAAAACCCGTTTTAGATATGCTTTTACTATCTGTATATATATATATATGTTGCTTCTTTTGAAATTCAACAACAGAGACATAAATTCTTATTCTTTGATGTAAATTTACACGAACAGTTTCAATAATTGTTAATTAAACCCATTCATTCGTTTCTCTAACACTGGGTATAATGTTTTTGTAAATACGTTCTACGTGTTACTATACGCAAATCACCATGCCAATCAAAATGAAACAGGGTTCAAAACTAACCAATTGTTGACTTGAAGAATGGTCAAACCGGTGTCTTGCGCCAGTTGCTTCTTTTGGTCCTCTGACGGATAAGGATGCTGGAAAAGATGTGATAGTCTTATTTAATTGTAAGATGAAAATAAACAATAATAATAATAATGGTTAGCTGGAAAATTCCAAATGAGACAGCGTTTTTTATTGGTTAAGCAGTCACAATATGGACGTTTTACATAATCACATGTAAACTTAGGCCTAACGCAAGGCTTCGTCGGCATTGGATAAGGCAGATAAAGTGTGGTTGACATATTATTACTCATTATTCTTTGCTTTCGTTAGTAAGTTTTCAGAACAATTAAATTGAGAACATACATAATTTTATTTTGTTACTGTGTGTTATCGAAATCTAAAAAAATTGTGTACGTCTCCTTGTTCCTAAACAGGATAAAAACAATAACAAAATTAAAAAAAACATCGCTCATTAATAACTTCTGATCAAAAGTAAAGATAGATACTGTTTCTGATTGTTTGTAGTTAATCACAGGGCTACACAATGGGCTATATGTACTATGCCCACTACAGGTATCGAAACCCGGTTTCCAGCGTTATAAGTCCGCAGAGTTATAACTTTGCCATTGGGTTGGGGGAGGGGGATATACTACAAAGTTACTCACAAATTAACGAAGTAAATTATGTATAACAAATACACCAGACGTACTTAACTTTGTAAATCGATGCACAGAAAAACTTAAGCCTATAATAATTAAAATGCATTGATTTATAAGAACAGTACCCATGCTGTTATCAATATTTTCGGTCGTAATGTATTTATATGTAATATTCTTTATCATATATCGACAACAGGATGAAAGAACGCTTATTGTCAGTGGGGGCTTTGATCCAAACTTAATTAGCTCCCATAAGTAAAGTTTGCCAATACTGCGTTCCACGACATAAAAAAAAAAAAACAACCCCGTCATAATCTATATGATCCTATAGAAAACTCAGTTGCATAAGCATAAACTTATCAAAGATAAACGTTTGTGAAGGAGTGTCCGGTAGTTTTCACAGTCATGAAAACTCACACTTTATCCTCCTGTAACAAATTTGGGATACCTGTTTAATGATTCGTTTTATAATATCAAAACCTCTTCAGAGGTTCATATCTAATAAATCACCCACCAGGGGGAGTGCTTTCGAAAAACTATATTTGCTATTATGTCTTTCAATTTTCTCTGTACTATCTAACTTTCATTTCGGTTGGTGAATTATTACCATGTTGATTACGATCAATCTTGAAACTAAAGTAAATAGTCTAGAACCGGATCTAGTTTAACAGTTCATAAAACTCAAATCATCTCATCACTACTTACTCTGGGTGTCTGTGCAATCATTCTAATAGTAAAGAATTAAAGTGATGAAGGCCAATATCGAGAATAAGATATCTTAATGACTTTGTTACATCCACATCAGCGTTTACAATATCTAAACGAACAGATTCTAATAATTGTACTGTATGAACGTTCTTTATAGTTAATTGTTTATATACTGCCTTCTTTGTTCTTCTGATTTGTTTTCTGTAGCAAACTAGCTGTACTACGTGTTATTATTAACAACTAATCGAAAAACAAAAAATAAGGTTAAAGAAAAATTAATGGCGGTCTACATGTACACGTGTCACTGCCAGGAGATGTTTTAACTGATGTAGCCACACTATGTACACGTGTCATCACTATCGACTGTTTTAACTGATGTAGCCACACCATGTACACGTGTCACCTCTATCGACTGTTTTAACTGATATAGCCACACCATGTATATATACACTACTATCGACTGTTTTAACTGATGTAGCCACACTATGTACATGTACACGTGTCACCACTATCGACTGTTTTAACTGATGTAGCCACACTATGCATATGTACAAAGAGGGCTGTTATATTTTTTCAGTTCCGTAATTTGAATTATATTTTTGATCCATAGAGTTTTTAACAGTTCCTTCCCATAATAACTTTAACATTCAGAAGTTTAACT